TCCACGAGCACAGAAACACCGAAGCCAGAAACGCCGAAGCCAGAAACACCGAAGCCAGAACATCGAAGCCAGAAGAATCGAGCACAGGATCAACGAGCTCGCAAGCATCGAGCAAAGAAGAATCAAGTACATCGATAAAAGAGCCTTCTCAAAATTTCATAGGTAAACCAAGAATCACCGATATATTGTAGTTTTTTTAAATCGAATTTTAGTTTATTATAATGATATCAATTTATTTTATATAATAAGGGAATAATAGAGTGGTTATTTGCGAGTAGAAATTTAAATATATTGTATCTAAAATTAATTGATTAATTAATTCGTTTTATATTTTTAGATAATTTCAATGATAGAAATGAAAGGAAGCGTAGAAGCTTGCTCGGCCGTTTTTCCTCAGAAATAAATGCACGCGCGAATGATTCTGACCTTTTCATGTGTTATACTATTAAAAGTAAGATATTATTTTCAAGTATATAAAACGTTGTTTTTTTTATTTTTCTTTAAAGATTGTTTTTATGAAAACATGGGAAAAGGTTAAATTGTAATAATTTTTCTTCTTTGCAGATGATAAGGAAGAAATCACGGAATTGGGATGTACTAATAATAAAAACTTTTGCGGTAATAATAAAAATTGTAGCACATGTAAAACAGACAACTGTAATTCGGCAACATCAAATGTTGTATTCGCTTCTATGGTGTTCTCTTTGTCAGTAATCATGTTTTTCGTGAAGTAAATTTGTCAATCTATTTATTATAAAGCACACTTTTTCGAGAATCAAACATGTATCAATCGATTTTCTTCGTCTTTTCGTGATCAACATCGATATTTAATTTAAAAGCAACAAAATTTTATATATCGTTATTTATAATGTCAAATTTCTGTGTTTGTGTCTAATTGGCCAATAAAAACTTGTTTTATGTTACCTAAATTAAATTCAAACTTAATCAAATTAGAAATTCGGTTTGTTTTATCCTGTTTGAATATCATATCTGAAAAAATTAATCCGTAAAATTTATACATACTGTGTGATAATGTGAAATAGGACATTGCACGTTGCACTTAAAAGTGAAATTAATTGTGAATGAAAGTTTATCAAGAATGAATGCAAAAATGGTTAATTAGTTGTTTAACGAACAGCCATAAGACGTATAAGAGCAATGAACTCGATGCATTCGACGCGTTCTAATCATCTTTTTTCGAGCCTTTCCAATAATAAATTTCTCGATCGTTAATTCTTATCATTACTCCTTCCCATTAATTGCATATTCTCTAGGAAATTAAAACGCTTGTACATAAATAATTAATTTTTCAACGATGTATGCAAAAATAAGAGAGAAGAGAAATGCGTGTCGTCGTTCGTCGGCTCATTGTTGCAAATGCGAAAAATTATCCATTTAACGTGAATAATGGAAGATCGGCGCATCGATGAGAGACGATTGAAACGAAACGAATGAGCAAGGAGAGAATACGATAGAGGAGAGATGAAGCGCGATTGCGCGTATACGATATTCGGGCGTGCTCGTAGCCGATGCGCTTGCCGCGCCTCCTCGCTGGGTTCGTCGGTAATTGTGGCGTTGCTCTCGCGAGGGAACGCGCGCGGTCGAGCAACTCGATTCGTTGGAACTGCGCCGCCCGTCCCCACAACTCTCGAGGAACTTCAGTCTACCGTCATCGTTCGCGAGCGTCGTTTCGCCGCGTTTGTCGTTCGCTTTCATTTCACGCTCTTCTTATCCCTATTCTAACGCTATTACCATCACATTTTTTTCACGCCATAAAACGTGTTTCGTTTCCCTTTTCACGACGCGTTGCAAATCGAACGAGAGAAAGAAAAGAAGGAGACGGGATATCGAACGCAAGCTTATCCGAACGTAAATTTTTCCATCCTTTCGCGAAGTAATTAACGAAACTTGGTAAATTTTATTTACTCATCGGTGGATTGTCCGACGCGTCGATCGAGCCATTATCACGCCAATCGTCGTCATGTATGATCGACGCGTCTGAATTTTTACATCTTCCTTCCCAGACGTGAGACAGGATTTCGAGACCTAGTCTTTTCGTCGGTTATCGTACGAACGTAAGTACTCACGCACTCTGATTTTGTTCGATAAACATAACTTGTTGCCGTTTGGCGGGAAGTTTGGTGAACGTTTCGAAATGCCGATAAAACTTCTTACGTGGAGAACGAGTAACCTTGAGAAATGGCAGTTGTATGAAAGTGGGATTCGAAATTCGCGATGTATCGTAGATACATTGATTGTACGTTGAAACCGTTGAAAGAACGAATATCGAATTATTTGTTTCGAAAGATCAAGTGAAAAATCGCGTTCGAATTTGCATCGCTTGTTAAAATATTGGATTATCATGGATATTTAATAATAATAAATCGCATCTAATTTGCTTTCAATTCATTCTACACTTACTCGTAACGATTTATTTAACTCGGTTGTAGAAAATTAGAAAATAAAAAATAAAAAAGTTGACGTTCCGGCCACTAGTGCTGGTTCGATCGTCCGGACGCTGCACATAGCCACCTGTACGCACTCTGTTTTGCTTCGAATTAGTTACAGCCTTTTGCCGGTTTTCCCTTCTGCACGGTTACAAGCAGCTCGTCCCAAAATCGAAGATTTCCGCTACGTTGAGCTCGTTAAGGTTCGTACGCGAATCTGTCCCTCCGTTTAGTTTCTGCTAACGAGGACAACAACAAAGCGTTTCGTTAATCGTGCATCGTTCTTGCGTCGCGCGCAGGAGTCGTAAATGCATTACGGTATTCCCTAATGTTTTTTTCTTGCTTCTTGCAATTCTGTGAAAACAAGTAGAAGTTAATGCGCGAAAAACATAGTGGTATTTCATAAAATATTTCGTGATCAGTTGAGAACACAAGACATAAGAAATTCAGCCTTCCTAGATGGCTGATCATATGATCGTCCTCGCTGTTTAAGGAAAGTCAACCGCTTTTTTTCTTATCTTCACTCGGTGGAGAAAAAAGACCGCTATTGGAAATAGAGAACGCGGGAAATAGAGGCAAAAGGGAAAACGCGATTCCGTATTCTCGTTGAACGCGTTCTTTCTCCTTCTCGAATTCTAGCGTTATGCTGTGTTAATCGATCAGTGTCTGCGCGCAACACGCATCCCATTACAATTATTTCATTTTCGCGCAATTCGTACGGCTGGATATATCTTCGCACCGTGAAAACTTGACTCGAAGTTTATAATTGAATCGGTTAAGATGTGGAAAGATAGCTGTTCGGCCAATCTGGACAAAAACTGTCAATCAGCCTTTTGAAAATGAAAAATTTGAAGGACAGCCGAGGTTTACAAACGAGGAATGGCTTAATTCCACGACAGGGAAGGAACGCAGAATTGCGAATTCGTTGAACTAATCGAATCGAGTATTAAATAATGAATACGTGAAAATTGGATTAGTGTGTCACATACACGCTGCGTAGCATGATTCCGATCGTTTTTTAAACGTTATATCGTAATTTCGTTTTGCAATAAAGTGAATATCATTCTCTTACGTTGCTTCTCTTCCTTTTCGTTTCGTTTCTTTTCTTTTTGCTTCGAACATGGGTCACAATTCTTTAAGAAAAAAAAAAAAAAAAAAAACTTAATTCTCGTATAAATTTAAATTTATCCTTACATAGATATATGTAAATTTCCAAAATCGCGTTTTCGAACATTGAATTTCACGCAGAGCTGTGGAAACAAGGGCGCGGGAATAATTTTTATCAGTCGGTTCTAAGTAAATTGTGTTTCGTCGTCGCGTTCGAATGCGGCCAACGATAACTTTCGATCTAGATCTACTTGCTTAACATGAACGAAACTCGTTGTTAGGTGGCTCGTTTACCGTTAATACGACACGAATACACAAGCTGAGACGATAAGATTGGATTCTATGACGATATATTAGTATTTGATAGGCATTCGAAACAAATGTTCTCGCTCTCGGATGCACTTGACGTCTCTTCCGCTTTTCGAAAAACCAACCAGTTCAACCCCTCCTGAAACTGTGACTCTTATCATTTGCTATTAATTTTCACCCTTTGTCTCTCGAATTTTTTTACTGAAAAACGATTCTTTCATAAATTGTTAAATAATTTGATCGGAAATTTAAAAGAAAATTAATCGTTCCAATGAGAAATAAAACGTATTTCTCGAAACTTTTCTCGTCAAGTTCCAATCCAAGTGGATATATCAATTTCGTAGCGAAAGCTCAGTTAATAATAAACTGTTAGTACACAATTTAATAAATTGAATATAGAAGAATAATAGAATAAAATTGCATTTTGATGAATGAAAAAAATTTATATTATCAACATTTATACATGCTATTTCAAGTTCAACAGATATTAAATTGTCGAGGATTCGATAGATCGTAAGTCGGGATCGTAGATTATCGTAGATTAACCCTGTTTCCTCTTATTTTTAATCCAACTTATAAGGGTAGGCAATCCTGTGGCCAATACCTTTAGAATTGCCCCGATTCCTGCTTCCGGATCCTGAAAAGAGATACGCGCACGCTATGACCGAGTTGAAGAATCAAGTATAATTTTAGACAATGATCGTAGCAGTTGAATTAGTTTTTTTTTTTTTTTTCTTTCAAAATTATTTTGAGGAGAATCGTCAAACGAATAGATTTTTTTTTCTTTTTCTTTTTTTTTTTTTAACTTACTGCGTCTGCGTCCGCCTCCGCCTCCGCCTCTGGTGCCGGTTCTGGTTCAGGGGCCGCATAGATCAAAGAGATGAATACAACCATAAAAACAAGGGAAACGTTGAGTAAGAATTTCATGATTCGCTTCCTTACTTCCGATTTCTGTTCAATTCCTCGTGCGATGAAACTTGTCGAAGAAAACGCTCGTTGCTTCGTTATTTATACCAGGCGAGAATCGTTAAAATTATCGACGACGGGCGATATTGTTCTTTTTTTTTTTTTTATAATTTCCGTCGAACCCATTAAAAAAGACGGTTAAAATTGTTGCAAGTTGTGAATAAAGATTGGGGGAGATGATAGAGAGTGAATAAATAAAAGTTAAAAAATTTTCGCGCGATTATTCAATCAACAATTTACGCTCAAAATTAACGAGGATCAATGAAACTTTCTGTCTGTGTGATTATACGTATGAAACGTATGAATTTTTGACAGACGCTTTAGAAAATCAATCTTTACAAATTTGCTTCTCAAACGTATAACTTCGTAATGCGAGAGGGGAAAAATTTTAAAATCTAATTGAAAATATTCCATTTCTATATATAAACGTTACAAGCAACGTTCCAAATAGTTTTTGCAATCGTTGAAACTAGGAAGAGGCACGAGAACGATTCCTTTTTCCAGTGACGAGGCAAAATTCGATAATTGAAAATTACGAGTAAAACAAATTCCATAAGTCGCTTCGATATAATTTAAAAGCACAAATAATAATCGACCAAATAATTGCATCGACCAAGGTTGCGTGGAAAGCGGGATCAATTATATTAAAAACGAATAGATATTATTCGATCCTATTCTAATAAATATATAATTCACGTTAAGTAACTTTATTAATTTTTAACCACTTCATCAAAATATTGGGCCCAAATCGGATCCAAGTTCGAGCGCGTGCATATTACGCGCGCGAACGCTTACTTACACGTGTTATGCACGTGTACGTAACATGGCGGCCGTCTCGTCTTCTTACGCGGAGCGCTACGAATCTGCGCGGAGAAATCGAGGATCTGGAACTCTGGTGAGAGTAAGAACCGCGCGCGATTCCCCGGATATCCGTTCGAAGGAACCGAAACTCGTTCGAAGCCAGTTCACCCACGACATTGAAAGTTACGAGCGGGGAGAAATCTGTCTGTGCCCCGTTTTGCAGAGAGAGAGAGATTCTTTGTTTATCGCGACTTTGTTCTCTCGCGCATCGATTTTCAATTCTGTTTCGTTTCGCGATTACCAACTAAGCGCCATACCTTTTTATCGACCGCGAGGTAGTAGAATGCGGCGTGTGCGTCGTGTGTGTTGCGCGCAAGTTCACGAGAACGAGAAGTGGATGGTGGAGAAAAAAAAAAGAAGGAAGGAAAGAAAGAAAGAAGAAGAAGAAGAAGAGGAGAAGGAGAAGGAAGAAAAGGAGAAAAGAGAGGAGAAAAAGGCCGTGAGGCCCAGGGCTGACCGGTTCATCGACCTATCGTCCGGTCTTCTTAGTCCCTCGTTCTTCACCTTTCTCTCGACACTTGGTTTCTCTTTCTCTCTGTTAACTCTTTTCTGTTAGCCCCGACTGTTCCTGAACCGGCAAGGAATCTCGCCTCGGTCGCGATACAAAAGGCACGCAGATTTTTGGTCGTGGAATTCTCATCGCGTTTTCTAATTCTAAAGCGGTTTAGTTTCTTCCCCTCCCTTCCTTTATTCCATCCTATCCTTTTTTTGGAATTCATTTTGAATCCCTTTCAAAAGGAATTTTTTTCCATTTCAAAACAACAAAAATTTCGTATAGAATGAGAATTTTAAAAGGTTTGGAAAATTGTGTGAGATAATATCGTTTAATACATTTGTTTATTGCAATAATTTCATACATACGTTGCAGCCTGGATTAAAATGAAAATTGATACGGAAACGTATGTAATCTCGTTTCGACACTCGTTACGCATCTTCTATTAATCGCAGTTCATCAACGTTATCAACATTCCTCCGGTTGGAAACGAATGATTGACATTGTTTTAATCTTCCTGTTTACAATAGTCGAGTCGAATTGCAGCGATCGTTAGAAACGGCGTGCCACGTATATACGCGGAGAAGACATTTGTACATTTTTCACTCGGGGAAGAGGATTCAAAGGAGGTCGCGTGAGGAACGAGATCCGTGTGAGAATACATTTTTCCCAGCGCTTTGTCCCTCTTTCACCGCTCTTCCTTCTCTTCTCTTTCTTCTTTTTCTTCTTTTTTCAACTGGATCTCCTTTCTTTTTCTCTCTCCACCATGCAACGGCTGTTGTCCTCCAAAAAGCCAGGATACCATTAATAGATAGATCGTCGAAACTAATCGGTGCAAAATTAAACCGGTTTCGAACCGATCTCCTCTTCCACTCTCTTTAGCGTTGAGAAAATTAATGAATATCGATTTCAATGGGACGTGGAACACGTTGGTCTAAAACGCGTTGGAAAGAGATAAGAGCGAGGGAAGAGCGTGGAACGGTTACGGAAGGAATATCGGTGCACGTTCGAATTCTCTTCTTCTTCTTCTTCTCTTTCGAATTTCTTTCTTTCCTTTTCTTCCACCGTCGTCAACTTGTCTCGCAGGATTTTACGCTACAGAGTTTTACACGGTTGGAAACAGGTCCGCTTCCACTTCACAACCGATGCTCCACATTTTTATTCCGACAGGTGAAATTCAAGGTACAAGAAACTCGCGAAGTAGAAATAACAATTTATCCGCGCTCCTTTCCTGCTCGAAAATATCGCGCTTACTGTTAGATTTTCGTTGCGATATTTCCTCTTTTCCCGTTCTCGTTCGTTCCTCCTCTTTTCTATTGTTTAACCATCGACAGGGACGATTGTGCGAGTTATTGCGGATGGAGGAAGGGTGGAAAGAAAGAAAGAAGAAAAAAAAAATATTGTCTTTCTTTTCACCTTTTCTCGTCGAAACGGAGACGATGACGGAAAGAGTTAAGTACGTGTACATTGTCCTCGGTAGTCACTTCGCCGACTTGTTGTGTGCAGCTTCGTTTTCTCTTTCACTCGAGTGCAGGAAACTACGATTCTTGAGAAACTCGGAAGCTACTTATCTTGGTATTTGGAAAAAAAGGGAGTAGAGGAAAAAAAAAGAGAAATTAATAATTATTATTAAATATTTGTTCGAATAACAGTCGGATTACGAACACGCGTCGCGTTCTGATAGAAATTTTTTGCGATTGCTTGGTCCACGTTTAAACGATAGAAAGAAAGGATACGGCGACTTACGAGAATTCTTAAGGAATTCGAAAGCTTCTTCTTTTAGTATTTGGAAAGAAAAGGGAGTGGAAAAAGAGGAAGAGAAATTAATAATTATTATAAATATTTTATTCGAATAATCGGACAAGCGTCTCGTTCTGCTGGATCGTAGAATTTTTGGTTTAAACGGAAGAAGACTGCGAAGAATTATCCGTAAGGATATCCGGACACGAAGGAGAGTTAAGTCGTAAATAATATTGTCAATTGCGGTAACGTTATGTGAAAGATCGTTGTTTCTTTTTCTTTCCACGAAATAATGTCGCGTGTGAAGACACTAAAACCTCGTTCGAGGCAGGAAGGCAGGTTGAAAGAAGGTCGAATTTGCGATTTGTAGGTCGTTTGTTTCGGTTGCCTCTGTTTTTAAACACTAAAAGTAAACAGTTGAACTCGTTATCTAATACGATCGAACCGTGGGATCAATTTCCACGACTTCAACACGCCACTTAACCGTCCCGGAATGCCGTTAAACTGGGCTCACTGATGCGTCCACACGAACTACAATGGCCGCCGGTTTAACCGTCGTGATCCTGGCGCACGAGTTAATGAATCATTAACCGTCGTTTCTGTCAGTCCCTTAATGCCTCTTAACCCTTGGGAGTCTGTTTCATATCCGGTTGTGCTCGTTTGCGTCATTGCGATATTCGCATTCGTTACTTACGAATCTTTGAAAACGCTCGACAAACTTTGCCACGATCGAACTTTGTTCCATTCTTTCGATAGAGATTCTCCTATGCTCCTTGGCAGCAGATTGAATTTTCCTCAACTTGGCGCAATCGAGATTGACAATGGTTTCGTATCCTTTTTTTTTTAATTAATCTCGCGCCACTTTGACTTCTTTATCAGGGAAAAAGTAGCGGATTCGACGTTATTCAAGTGGCGGTATAGAAAGGTTGGCAGGTATTAACAAGGCTGGAAAGGGGAAAAAAGATGTTTATCTCGTTGGGAGAATCCTGCGGTTTCCCGTGTTTCAATAAAAATTTTTTAATCAAACGAAGTTATTGCGGAAATTTTTGTATTCGAACCGTGTGCAGATACAAGATAAAGATATTCAGGGAATTTCGTTGGAGGAATGGTAACGGATAATAATAGGTGGACGGCGGGTGTACGTAGAAGGTAAACCGTCGGCGGCCCTGAGAAGCGCGTTATTATTTTTTCGAGGACGATAACGCACGTCCCACGAACGTGACCCGACTGCAACTAGTTGACATTCGTCCGGGCGAAAAAAGTTTCGTTCTCGCGCCTTCGTTTCGCGTCGGATAGAATAATTTCGCTTTGAAAAACGTTCCTCGCACGCCCGATCGCACTCGTTTCCTGATTATACGAAATCGCGCACGATGATCGCTTCCAGATACCAGAAGAAAATACTCGAACGTGAAAGAAGGAACTGCCTCGACTTTCTCATCCCTGTGCTTTTGCTGCACCGGATGAAACAACGAGTCGACAGAGCGAAAAGCAGTCCCGTTAAATGGCGTTGAGCAAGAGAGAAGAGAGAGAGAGAGAGAGAGGAGGAGGAGGGAAGAGAGAAAGCAGTTCGATGTTTAATATTCAATAACAAGTATGCAATATATTCGCAAATATTGAAAGGAGGATAATTCAGAGCAATATACACGCGAAAGTATTTGAACGCTATCTTACAAGGAAATGAAAACTTGTATATAGAGCATAATAAGTTAGATATTTAGTTGTATTGCGAAAAGAATTATATTTAGAATTTATTTGTCGACGTTTTAAAGCAGATAAAATTAAAATTTCATTTTTTTTTCAATATATATTTTATATTTTCGCAATTTAAAAAAAATTTTGTTTCCACCATTACAAAGTTATATTTAAAAATTTACTTTATGAAACGTTAATTTCATTTCCTTGAAGTAATATTTTGGTACAAAAAAAAT